ACGGTAGGGGGGTCCGTGTCATCCGGTACCTAGGTACCGTGACACGGTACGGCCTACCGTGTGGGGGTACCGTATAGGCCAAAATAAGTTTTCGCCTCTGGCGGTACCGGGTTAGGACGGGGTGGCCTACCGTCTGTGCCTACCGTACGGTACCTGGGTACCGTTACACGGTATGGGGGTACCGTGTAGGCGGTATACCCTACCGTTTGGGGTACCGCTAGGGGTACCGTGCCACTGTCCTACTTTTTCCAAAGTTCCCGTAATCCTTCGCGTTTGAGTTTAAAACCTTTTGGATATTTTGAAAATGTTTATGGGATGGTTTTAAACATATTTTGTGAGTGCTTTTGAGCTTGTGAATATAGGTATATAAAGTCATATCCTTACATTGGTTTCTACCTATATTCTACGCTAGTTTAGTGTTTCGACTTTATACTTGAGTACTGAATCTTAATGGTTTCTTGTTGTACCTGAAACACTTAAACAAATGTCAAACTATTATATTGTTTGTTAACATCAAAACATGAGACTTAGCAAACCAAGGCTAACAAAATATGTCGCTTCTTACATCTTGCGGTGCTGCGCCCTAGATAGGACCCCAAGTCTGGACAAATTTCTCACCCTTTTTAGCATCGGTGGAGCTTTCCCTTTCTACAGTGTGTTTCCTCATCCCAAGCTCCCAGTTTTTGAGAAGGTTGAGGCCAAAATTGACAGATGGGCCCGTCGCTACTTTATCATCGAGTTCCTGGTTCATAGCCCTATAGATTTGCCGGGGATATTACGTCACAGTTCACTCTCCCGGACTCCGTTCCCAGCCGCACCCGAAGCGGAGGGAGTGCACAACGCCCCTGAGAGAGGAGGGGGACTGATTTCACATCATTCCCTTCAGGACCCCAAATTGTACAAGAAGGCAGATTTCTACTATCCTCTGTGCCCCGACCCTATCCCGTTTGAAGGGACATCTTCCCCCGGGAGGTCAAAGGCTTCTCCCTCTGTAGAATCGCATCCAGTTGAAGATACCTCTAGGATCCAGGTTCAAGGTGGCGATACTGCCTTGGTAATCTGCACACCCTCTGCCGCCCTGGATGTTGGTCCCATTTCTGCCATTTCCATGGCTGAGGAAGCCCACGCTGTCCCAAAAACGGCCTCGGGAAGGGGTAACTGATGACGACTTCCTTCCCAAAAGAGTAAGGGTGATGGTACCCCTGCTTCGCCCAGCCCCCCGACTGCTTCTTCTGGCACTCAAACCGCCGCTACCGCTGTCGCATCTGGAGAGCTGGAGTTACCCCACGCAGACAGCTTGGACCATGAGGCAGATAAATCTCCACACCAAACGTCACTCCAAAGACCAGCAGGGTGACCTTAGCCTGTGGTGAAAAACGCCTCCCCGTCAACTGCTGCCACTTCTCCAGGGATGGAGAAAGAGGTTGGGGGACAGAAGGAACCGAAAGGAGCAGCGTTCCGCTGCAGCGCCCTCGACCTTCAATCTCCCCATCCGGTGCAGATTCACACCGGAAACTTTTCCTGTCTTCTAGGAGGGTTGGACAGATTTTCTCGTGGTCTGAACTCCCTGAAGGCCTCCCACTCCACCATTCAGGTCAATCTGGAGAAGATGAGGGGATTAATGCAGGATCCCATAATTGCACAGGCATGCCTTGACCCGCTTGCCCTTGATGTCATACACTCCATGGAGCAGGTACCTTTTTCTTTCTAAAGTCTCCTTTCTTCTCTTAAATTATCTCTTTCTTGACTTTCCTCCCACCCTTCCAGGCCCAACAATCACTCCTCACTCTGTCTGAGGAGTACCTAGGTGGAGCATGGGGTAATTATCGGGCCATGGTGGTCCTAAAGAACAAGGAGTACTAGGACTCTCGTGCCGTGCCGAGGCCCTCTACGAAGAGGGGAAATTTGACATGCAGCTCTGCATTTACGAGGCGATTCGGAGTGGTCTCCCGGCTCACCGGTCCTTAGATGATTTCATCACATACTACGGCTTGCCTCTTCCCCTTCCTCCCCCAGACTCTCGTGCCAATCCGGGGTCTTGATTTTCTTCCTCCCCAACAGTCGTTGTATTTTTACTTTGTAACATTTGAATTGCATCAGCTTGATAATGCTTGTAGCATTTTGTCCTTTGTCAATATCCCGCTTTTACTTACATCCCAGTAGACTCCTTTCTTTGGGATAACTGTTCTCCTTTTGGGATTTTTATGTTGCTTTGGGACTTCGCAAAATTTTTACCTGGCTTAACCCACATCGGTATTTGCTCAAATACGCTTACTCCTGACGCGCTAAGTGACTGGCCCACCTTAATTACGCTGGGGCCAATTCACCCAAGCCCATGATGAATGACACAACCCTAGCTTTCCTCGGGAATCCACAACTGTTTCCCAATCGGATAAGCGCTTTGACTCCGCGTCCTTTGCACTCCCTCCTAGCATCATCCGCCTATTTAAGGAACTAGGCAGAACACTTTCATTATCACAACCACTTCTCAACATGGCTAATAATGGCAACAGAGTTGTCTTTATTGATCTGACTATCTCTGATTCTTCTTCTAATTCCTCCTCCTTGGCACTTCCCTCACTTGGAGCCCCAACACCTGAATTCCCTTCTGGACCTTCCTTCGCTTCCGAACAATCGGTGACTTCTCCCCTGCCCGAGGGGGAGAACCATCCTCATCTCCCCCAGCAAATATCAGGGGGTACTCTCCTGGATTCCAGCATGCTCCCTGACGGTACCAGGACGGAACCTTCCTCTGGCCGTCCTGGTATATCCCGTTCCCAGACACTACGTCAAAAACAGATGCTGACAACTGTTCTTTTTAGTAGTCTAACTATGCTAGTTTCAGTAGTCTCCTGAGAAGCTGTCTGATATATATACTAACTATTGTTTAAAAATAATTGTGTAATACGGTTGACGACACCTATTTTGTGATGTTTCAGAGTACATGTTTTTGAAGTTGTCCTTGTATGAGTAAGACATTTGTTTTCTGTAGTTAAAGACAACTGTGATGTTTAGTTGTCTATCTATAATGAATATAATTGTTGTTTTCAACTTCAGACTCCTATTGCGTGGTGTTGTCGTTCAACAATATAGACATCTAATTTCAAAAGTAGTTGAAAGATATATGACACTGCTGCTTGGAAGACTACTAAACAAAAATAGCATTAGACAACTGTTATCTTCTGCTATATTTCTAAAATATAGACTACTACTTTTGTTGTATTTTAAACAACCATTTCTTTCACTTGTATAGTGCTCAATAACACTATGCTTTTTGTAGTTGTCCTTAAAATATTCAAACTATCTTTTTACATAGTAGTTGGATTGTAAATCAGACTACGCTCCAAAGTCAACTAAGTATGTTTGCATAAGACAACTATAATTCTGTGTTGTATTTGTAAAATGTAAACTACTATATTTGTTGTATTTCACACAACTGTTTATTTCTATTGTCTAACGTTTATTAACAATACAGGTTTGTGTAGTTGTCCTTTAAAGATTTAGAAAACTGTTTTAATACATTGTAAAGCTGTTTGAAAGACTACTATATTTCGATTTACATTTATATTTAATAAATAAAATTTATTTCAATTCCAAAATATTGATCATGAAACAAAAATAAATTCTAAAATGTAGAATATATTGAATAATATCTAAATACATACAATCCAAGTCTAAACAACATCCAATAATTTAATATTTACATAATTAAAATCACTCTAATTGTCCATTCAGCATGCCTAATTTAGTTATTTGTCCCCTCAATAACATTTTTGAATACATCTCTTACTCTAGCAATATTTTCTCGTAAAGCATCCACTTTAGTTCTCAATCTGCATACCATTAAATAATTAAAATGTATGTTTGTTGATAACAAGAAAGAGTTCATAACAAAAATACTTGAAATGTTTTGGAGTTATTTACAAGCTAAATACCTCCAAAGTAGTTCATATGCATCTATTTAACAATTGAAGTTCATAATTCAACTTAGAAATCAAGCAAAGCTACAGATTTTTCTAAACAAAAAATAATTCAGTTTAAATGAATACAAGTACAAGATGTGAATCAAAACCTTTGGATTTAGTTCACGGGTAGTAGTGTTGTCTCTCCCATGCCAGAAATAACTCCCAAAATCCTTTCCTATGATAAAAAGGTCTTTACTTGTAAATAAAGTGGCTTTTAAGATGGATCTCGCATTGCATGTAAGGGAACAAAAGCTCTCACAGTTTCGGGTCTAATCCAACTCTCAATATTTAGTCTCTTAAAATCCCTACCACAACCTCTACAATTGACAACATTTGTTAATATGACAAAAAGACAATGATTTATGCAGCCTCCCAGCATTTAGCTCCGGCAATGAATGGCAAAGTGAGAAGAGGCGAAGTGTTTATTTATGGCCTAAACCATCAATGAGAAGGATCAATGATAATAGCGCACTCTTGTAATTGCGGCACTAGTGATAATTTATGCACAAGTTGACAGATGAAGATGACAAAGTTACTTTTTGAGATTTTAAAAATCAGCATGTTTATGTGTAAAAAAATATGTGTGCATGGAATCTTTGTCAACAACAACAAACCCAAGAGAGACGGTTTGCGTTAGACTCTTGATGCTTTTACTTTACCAAAACTTCATAGTTCATCGAGAAATAGATGCAAAGGAATTTTAATTTGCCATTTTGATCTAGTGAATAATTTACCTAAAGCTTAAACATTGTCAAAATGGATTTTTTAGTTCCATTAGCTACACAAAAATTTCATAGAATCCCTTATGAATGAGAATTGATTCATATTAATTTTCTTCAAAATACAATTGTCAAGAAGATCCAAATGATAGAGTCACTTGCCTTCGGATGGATGCTCAAACCCGGAATCCACAATAGCATGCAGCAGCTCTGGCTTGAGAAGAAAGTCTGTGAAACCCGAATTGTGGATTGAATGATATCCCCTAATAATTTAAAAAATACAAATTTTCACTTCTATGATCAGTTAGAAATACACACCATCAAAAAACACATCTTATATAAAGTTATGGTGGCATGTTAAAATTTCTTATTTTTAAAATCAACTATACATGAACTTTCAACTTTCAAGCATCTACAACAAATCAACTTCAGAGACACAAGACAAATTGTTCTGATTAATGAGCGTAACATGCATAAATTTCAATTGATAACCAGAAAGAGATAATAGATCTAAGATCAGAAATAAACTATTTGGTCAATTATCTTTAAAATGAAGAGCTCTAGCCAATAAATAGTACCAATGGAGAAACAAAAAAACTAAAGAATTGAAATCCAAGTTAATACATTGGATTATGAAGCCATTTCGCTCAGAATCCTAGAAGGATGTTCTTCAATTTTGCTTCAGACAACAAGAATCTACGATTGAGTTCGCAGATGAACGATAACGGCGTAGAATCCACAGAGTAACGACGTAGAATACCACAAGTTACATCACTAAAATGCACCTCAAACGAGGCTCTTTTAATACATGAACAACCTCACAAAAAACCAACCAAGAATCCACAAAAAGTTGGTCAAAAAACAAGCATAAACTTGATACATATGCATTCCAAATTCTCTCTGTGAACAGTAAATACGAAATTGAAAAAGGCACCAAATCAATAGGAGAATGAACTGATAATGAAATCCAAGTTCATACCATGGAAGAGGATTACATACTACTCAAAATATCTGAGAAATTAGCTATCAAAATGGTATGGACCGAAGTGAATCAGAGATGCAAAACCGCGAGTGAACAGTGCCGAGGTGGGCGTCGACCTTCGTTTCATAAAAAATCCTTCATCAAAAATAGCAAAATCACCTCTGAATTGGATTCACCAGGTATTGGCTCACCCAAGGTTCCAAAAATGAAGCAAAACCAGCTCAAATCCATGGAATAATAGCTGATTCCCTCTTCGCGGCACTGTTCATCACGCGGCTAGAGTTGAGAGCTCATCTCTTATCTCAATCTCAATGACTTTGTGGTTGTGTGGACTTAAAATTTTTAACCTAATATTTTCCCTCTCCTTTGCCAAAATTTTTCCCCCTCCTTTACTAAATTTTTTTCCCTCTCCTTTTGTAAAAGTTTTTATCTTCCCTCTGTTTTTTCATCCCCTCTATCTTGTTAAGTTTTACTTTTTTAGATTTTATCTTTAATTAGTTTAACTTTTTACTTTATATTTTTTATTTCAAAAAAATTAGTAATTTTTTAAAATGATATCACGCAAAATAGAAGTAAAAAAGAGAGAATGTACTAAAATAGAATATTAATATTTTTAATCTCAAAATAAAAGTTTTTATTATGACATTTTATATTGACTTTATAGAATATTTTTTGGTATTATGTGTTGAGATTATTGGAACTGTAAGTCCGGTTTTGTAAATAAAAATATGTAACTCCGATTTTGATTAGTATCTAATAATGGTTTTTAACATGCATGTATTCCCTCCGTTCCAAATTGTTTGGGATATTTTGGAGAACGTGTAAAATATCATTTTTTTAAAAATAATTTTATTTAAAAACTTAATTGGTAAATAAATAGAAAATAAAATTATACTTAGTTAATTGCATAGATCAGATCCTTTTAATACTCATATTTATGGTACTGATAACAGAATAAGGTAATTGCACAAATCCAATTTTTCGAAATACTCATACTTTTGACGATATAAGATCTTATAAGTACTGATAATTGTACTTGTTACTCACATTGTTACTCCTCCGTCCCAAAAAGAATATCTTACTTTGATTAATTTCTAAAACCTCATGGTTTTTAAAATCATATTTTTTGCAAATTGGTAAAGAAATAACACATTAAAAAATTATCTTTAAAAATTGCATCGAAAAACTTTCAAATCCAATCTTGTCTGATTGCTTGTATATTTCATGCGACCCACTACATCTCAATTTAACATGTTTATATGTTATTTAGATGATATCTAATGAAATCAGATTAAACTAGATCAAATTAGAAAAGGTTTTGTTGGGAAAATATTATAGATTTTGATGATGATGTATTTAGATTGTAATAGGGACTTTAGGCCTCCCCCAATATTCAATGTAATTTTTCTTTTTAGAAATATTGTTAAAACCGAGTTCTTGAGATTTCCAATAAAGTTGTGATATTTCTTTAAGTGGTTTGATGCTTGAAGACTTAATCAAATTCTGTGATATAGAAATTGGATATCTTGATCGGAAATGTCAGAGACAAGTAAGGATTTCTCAAAGCAGATGAAGATCCTCTAATCCGAAACACTACATGATAACCGGATGTCTCGCTACAACCCGCAGAAGGCTAAGTCATTCAAATTGGAAGACTAGCGCGGATCTCTTTCTCACCCGGAAGTCTGTGAATGACTCTTCCGGATTTGTCAGCAAAAGAACCGGATGCCTCAAGGAAAAATCGGAACTCTCAGAAGCGGACAAGTGAGAAAAGACTTAGAAAAATTCTAAGTCTTGAATGAAGAAATTCTACCCGTTGGTAAGGAAAAATCAATCTCTTGATTTTCAACGGCTAGATTGAAGATAATTAAACTGATTCAAGAACAAATGACTTGAAGACAAAGTCTGGACCCCTCAAATTAAAGAGCTCGTCCAGAATTCCTAAACAAGCACTAAAAGACAAAATGAGTAAAGATCTACAGTCCAGAATTCTTGAACAACAGCTAGAAGACGGATTCTGTGGAAAAAGGAATCCCTCCTCAAACAATTGGGTATGTCCAAACACCCACTCCAATGAGGAATCCTCAATCACAATCTTCATTCAAAATTGAAGCCAACAAATGCAACGGATAGTCTATTTTGAATCAACGGATAGATTATCCAATCCAGCTATAAATAGCAACCTTGGAAGACTGGAGAAGAAATAACAACGAGATAGACGAACACAACAAAGCAATCTCTAATAACAAAGCTATATCATTCACAGTTAGCCCAAAAAGCTTGATAAAGAGAGATTTCTAAAACTCCTTATCCAGAAGCAAACTTCTCCTCCTTCCAAAGAGCTATAGTGTAAACACTTGAAGGTTTCCTTGCCTCAAGTACCACACCACGTTGAAGGATATAACTTTTGATCAAACTTCTTGATTAAAAGGAGGTAGATCAACTATCTCACAAGTTCATCTTGTAACACCCCAACCCGCATAACCCAAACCCGTGAGACAGCGGACCGGTGTGCTACTGGATTGGTATCCGAATATACAACATTTTCAATACAATTTTAAACAAACGTTCTATCAATACATATAAAAATCCATCGGAGTAATTTAAAATAATGCGGAAGCCTTTTTAAAGTCAAACAACTTAGGATCTTGCCCGAAAACGTAATAAGCATTAAAGTTAATTTAATAAAGCATAATCAACAGATTAAAGAGACAGTCACGCCATCGTACATCTCCTCCTCTGGGATCGGCTCTAGGTTCATCTATCTGATCACCTACGGATAGCAAAAAGGAAAACAACGTTATCCGCTTAGCATTGACGCTGAGTGGTACTCCATTGTAGCACAAGAATAAACATAATAATTCAACAATTAAGATCGCACATATGTTTATCCTTTTAATAAAAATCAATTCAACTTTACATTCGATTCTTTAGACGGTTGACCAACAGTCAACTTATTTTCTTTCTTTTCAAAATGATTTAGGTGTTAAGGGTTTCTCATTAACTCTTTGACCGCCGGTCAAACCAATTTAGACTTTCACGAAAGTCAAACCACTTAACATTTAATGCCTATGACGGAGATAGCCTCAATCCGTAATACCGAAGATAGCCTCAATTCGGTGGAGGTAGGATCCCTCGGGCGATAGCCTCAAACCCAAGATCACAGACCCTCGTGCGCACGTCTTAATAAACCAATTGATCCTATCTACTGATTAGAATTAATTAATTAACTTAATTAATTCAATAAAGTCTTGGATTTAACCATTAGGTCAAACCTACGTTAACAGAATATCCAGTCAAAGTCCAAGTCAAACAGGACCTAACCCAAGTCAAGGTAAAACCTGTTCAGTCAATCCATAATCCTCAACAATTCAATTCAAATAATCAATTTAATTCAATTAACCAATTTAGCCAAATTATAGCATAAACACATATAACGATCCAAACCATTAAATCTATTCTGAATGCTATTAACTTCATTGTACGGACCTGGATTACGCCGAAATCGAATCGATAGCTCGAACGGAAGACAAATCGATGAAATCAAACGAACGGGTCAAATTGAGTCAAAATACGAAATCGACCAATCAATCCGGTGTGGAGGTTAATCTGCCGGCGATATCAATCCGGGGCAGCGGCTGGGTGCGGCGACGGTGGCGGACGTCGGCGACAGTGGCGTAGCGGCAGCTCGACGGCGATGAGCAGCGACTGGCGGCGCTGCAATTCGACGGTGAGGAAGGACGCCGGCAGTGGAGGCGACGTCCAGTCGCGAGGCGTGGCGGCGCTGCAACCCGACGGCGGCGGACGACCGACGAAGGCGAAACAGCGGCGCTGCACTTGACGGCGATGATGGCGGACTTCCGGCGAAGGCGAAACAGTGGCGATTGGCGGCGCTGGACCTTGCAGTGGGCGACGGAGCTGCGGCGATTGGCTGGGGAAGGGCGACCGGCGATGAGCGGCGTCTGGCTCGGGCGACACCGGCGTGGTCGAACAGCAGGGAGGACGACCGGCGAAGAACGGCGTCTGGCGGCTGCAATTGGATGGCGATCAAAGTTGAAGAAGGAGAAGAAAGAAAGAAGAAGAAGAAGAAAGAAAGAAAGAAAGAAGATAACGATCCTACGGCTGAAATTAGTTTAGGTTTTATCTATTAATTCCAATACTAGTGGTTTGGGCTCCAGGCCCAAAATACCTGATTAAATGGTCATAACATGAGTTCCATAACTCCGATTCGCGAGCCGTCTAAACCGACGCGATCACAAAAATATTTCCTACGAGATGACATAAAAGTTGGGCTTAGAATCCAAATTATAATTTTAACCCCTTTTTGGGCCCAATTCGTAATCAATTGCTCTAACAATTTAATTAATTCTTTTGGGCCAGATTTCGGGGCGTTACAGATCTTGCGGGTCCTATTGTTCGGATCTTGCAGTTGTTGAAGAAGCGTGACCTTCGAAGGAACAACAAAGCCATCACGAGTGTAGTAGCAACTTTGGCCTTGCGAAGATATACCGTGCAGAAATTCACACAAGTGTAATTGTTGGTTCTTTATTCAACAACCAACTACATAGTGGATTTTGAGGACGTAGAAGGATTACCCCACCTTCGAACCTCGTTAAAGTTTGCGTGTCTCTCTCTTTTATCTTTACTCTTACTTGCAATTATATTAACTGTGAAAACTAACCCATCCATATTGATTACTGCTCATACTACCCACCAAATTCTGCACACAATCTAAAGTTCCCAAGAACTCTAGATTTACACTATTTTCACGTTTTCAAAAGAAACGAAAAAGTTTTAAAATTGTAACAAAGTCTATTCACCCCCCTCTAGACTTTGTATCTCACCACTTTGGGACCACCAATTGGTATCAGAGCCAACTTCTCATAATCTACATTTAGATTAACGAGAAGCGATCATAATGGTGAACAATATGGATAATGGTTTGCCCAAGTTTTTTCTTCTAGGTTTTGATGATTGGAAGATTATGATGGAAGCACACCTTTATGCCCTACATGATTGCATGTGGATGGTGCTTGAGGATGGACCCTTGAAAATCCAAATGGAGAACCCTGAGAGGAATCCAGCCAATCCTGATGTTGTCCAGTACATTCCAAAGC